CCGGGATGAGAGGCCGGCAGAGCGGGTCCCGAGGCGCCCGCGCGTCCTGGGCAGCGCCGCTCCGGGTGCAGCTGGGCCCGTTCGCACCTCCTGGCACCTTTATCTGGCCAAGTGGAGGCCGTGGAAAGAGAATTAACATCTATACCAAGCCAAGTAGTCTATGTTTAAAAAATAATGTAAGCTGGGCAGAAGTCTCACTGCTTAAACACAATCACTGTGAAACTTTCAAAGTGTTTGTGGTGATGTTAGGTTGTAAAGTAGCCCAGGATGGCTGTCTGTAAAATTCCTCTACTCAAATGCCCTGGTACTTAATATGAACGTGGAGGTGCCAGAGCTGATGAGGGAGCAGGGGCTGCGCGGGGGCGCACGGCGATGGCCACGCGGGAGGTTCTTGCACGGAGCAGCTGGATGCAACCATGAAATTCCCTGCTCTCGCTTCCATGACAAAACGTAAAATGGATTCCAGCATAATCCCAGTCACCTTGGCCCTAACAGCAGCAGGTTTCTCGAAGCAGCCGGTGGGGGTGTCCATCTGCACTGCAGGTGCTTCTGCAGAGAACGTTTCTGTGTTTGGTTTCACAGCAAAGCCAGGGTGCGAACGCGGCCTGGAGAGTTTTTGCACCTTGCGGGTGACGTGTTCCAGCCACGCGCGCGGGAGCTTCCCCTTAGTTCCCATGGTCCCTATAAAAAGGGTTTTTTAAGTAACACCACGCAGCAGCTGTTGGCCCGAGCCCGTGTCCTGCTCCGGCAGGTCCTCGTGTGCGGCAGCTCCGCGGCGCTGACGTCCAGCAGCACCGAGAGGGAGGGCGCTTCTCGGCTGCGTCCTCAAAGCCGGTATCCGCAGCGCGCCGTGCCCGAGAAGTCCATCCCTTTAGGACTGCGTGTCCCAGGACGGCCCGTGCGTGGGGCTGTGCCGGACGGGGAGCAGGTCGTAGTGCCCGGGAATGTGGCTGTTCCTGGGCAGGTCGTACGGGCTTTGGAGGTAACCAGCGCTCTGGCCACGGGCAGCGTCCTGCACCACGGCGATGGTGGGCTCTGCGGGAGCAGGGAGAGGGTGTCAGGGGAAGCGGCCGCCTCTCCAAACCGCCCAGACCCCCGGGAAGTGGATCCCGAGCCCCAGCAAAAGGCACTGCCAAACGCCCAGGGCTTTCCCTGCTCCAGAATCCTGCAGCAGCCTCAGGACAGGCAGGCAGGGCCCGCGGCCCCGCGCTCGCCGCCACTTACCAACTTCGTAGATGTTCTTCGCGGCGGTGGCTGACGTTGGCATTTCTGAGTACGGGGACTCCCTGTGGCCGGGGGACTTCATCTCCACGTAGCTGCTCTCCGAGTGTTTGCACGTGAGAACGGGGGGGTCTTTGATGGTGGCGTAGGGGTTTTCGCTGCTGTTGAGGGAACAAGTGCTGGAGCTGCACACAGACTCCTTCATGTAATCTGCAAGACAGGAGCAGAGCGGGGGGCTTAGCGCAGGGGCAGGGGGACGCGGGGCTCTGCGGGGACACGGGGCAGGGGAAGGTCCGTGGAGCGTCCAGCACAGAGGGCAGCAGGGCCTGATGGCAGGAGCCCCCTGCTCCGCACCGACGGCTCCGGTGCCGGCCGGGGCTCTCCAGCCCCTCCGCGTGTCCCCTCTGTCCTCCGAGGAGGGTGCGGGGCTTCCTCCCTACTGCGTCTCATCCCCGCCGCTCTCGCAGCCTTTGCTGCTCCCCTGGCCTGGCCGGGACATGTGGGGACTGCAGCAGCGGAGGCGGCGCGCGGGGACCCTGGCTGCAAGGAACCTGCCAGGCTCGCCTCGAAAAGGAAATTAAAAGCAAAAAAAAAAAAATAGTAACAAAAACCAGAATAAACGTCTTAATATTGCCATTAAGAACGTGCCATTGCTGCTGTGTGCATCCTGCTGGGCAGTGCCATTAATTTAGAATTAGAGCGATGCAATGAAAGATGAGGCATTTTCTTGTGCTGGGTTACAGTGCAAAGGCAGATCCTGGTATATATGAAATACTCCTGGTGAGAGAGCGGGGCTTGCAAAATAGCTGCAATCCCAGTTGCCCCCGCTGTCTAGGATGGGAGACAAAAAGAGAAATTCAGGTTAAGAAATAGACAGACAACAAGATAATCGCTTCTCCTTCTGAGAGCCCCTGGCAGCGGCACAGCGACGAGCTGGTGATCAAATACGAAACTCGCAGGGCGCCCTCAGCCCGGGTGAGGGCTAACAAGGCCTTGCCTCAAAGCGGACAATTCCCCTTTGTCCCAGAGCAGGAGACAGGAGCCCAAGTGACAAAAATGCTCTCTGGCCCCCGGGGCTGCCCCTGCAGCTTCTGCAGCCCGTGGGAAACCTGTCCCCGCTTCTAGCGAGCGGCGCAGCCAGCCCGTGAGCCCAAAGCCCGGCTGCTCGCGGCGAGGCTGCGTTTGCTGTGACTCAGGTGCGGCGCCGGGTGGCGCAGGACGAGGGATTAAGGGCAAGGAGGTAACAGAGAAGGGAAATCTCCGTGGAAATCCCGAGGGTACCTGTGCTCCTGCTCCCCGCGCCCGTCGTTGCGGCCGAGAGGGTTGTGTGGGGGAAGGAGAGCAAGGACAGCCCCAAAGCCGCGTGCAGCAGCAGCGGCCCCAGCCCCGCGGCGCCCCTGCTCTCCAGCAGCTCCCAGGATGCGGAGCTGCTTCCCACGGCCGGACACGGCGGGGTTGTGTCCGGCTGGAGAGCAGCCCCTCACTCCGTGTGGGATACGATCCATGGAGCGCACTGAACGCCAGGGAGCCACGGGGCAGCTGAGCTGCCAGAGCTCAGCAAATGCCACACAAGGGGCTGGGGGGAAACACACAACCTGCTTTGTCACAAAGGCAATTTGGGGATATTTAAAAAGTCTGGCATCAATTATCAAATCTCATCGTGTGAATTAGTTTAAGCCAGAACAAATGTGTTTACAGGTGTGCTGCCTGGCTCTTGGCAGAGCCGGGAGGCAATGCTGTAATTGTGAGCACCCCTCTTCTGTGCTGCCTTCTCCAGCTCCCCTACCCTTCCTGCAGGGTTTATTTGTGCTATTAGGGAGGCTGGACACTCTCATCCCTGCCCTGCTTTGCTCTCCCTTTTGCCCTGAACATCCCCTGGCATCAGAGCTACGCGACTCGGTGCCTCCTGCTGCGCCCCGAGGGCTGTGGAAATGCCACGTCCTCGTCTCCATCAACCTCCGCTGCGGCCGCTGCTCAGTGCAGAGCCCTCGGGGCCTTTCCTTAACGTGGCCGCTGGGCCGGGACGCGGTGCCGGCTCCGGTGCTCCCCAGCCCCGCGCCGGGCTGAGCACCCCTGCGATAGGCGCCCGGGGGGCTCTACCCCGGGGATGTTAGTGGGTATCAGGCAAAGCTTAGTTATTTTTTCCCTTGCATTGCTAGTGCTGGAGGTCTGGTGATGCCACCAGTGCAGCAGCGTTCCCTGCAAATAACCGCAGAGGGAATGAGCTGCAGAGGAAAGCCTGGAGATGGCATCACTGAAACACCCATCTCTGTGCTCGCTTGTGAATGTCCCACTGCTGTCACCCGCAGCCGGTGTCGAGCTGTTGCTGACTGCAGCAAGGAAGGAAAGAAACCTGCCAGGGCAGTGTTGAGCTGCCTCCTGGCTCCGTGCTGGCCCTGGGGCCCTCTGGCTGCAGGACAGGTGGGAGCAGAAATCCCAGCAGGGATTTTCCCCTATTTCACCCCCCCTAGACCTGTTGGGCAGATCCAGACATCCCTGTGGTCCCAGTACCTTCTCACCAGGTCAATGTCTTGCCCTTTCCAACACTCACCCTCCCTGGTGACTAAGAGCTCACCAAAAAAAACTTTTAGGCTTCTAGGCTTGATTTTTTTGGAGTAGGCAGTAAGCATGTAGAGAAACTGGCTCGTATCCTAAATGCCAACATCTAGAGCAGCAGCAAATGCTTTTCTCAGCTCCACATACTGCGAGGTTTTTTTCCCCTTTCCCATTGGGACGTGATCCCTGTGACAACTGGGGTTGTGGAGGTGAATTCCTACTTGCATGGGATCGTGCAGGTTCTTTATAAACAGAGCAACCTCAACTGATTTTTTGTACTAATTAATTAAACTGATTTTACTCTAAGAGCAGCTTTTTGCTGAAAAAGTGAATCTTTCTAGTAGCTGAAACTAGTGGATTGAGGCAACTCCTTTTGTATTTACCTATTCCATAAATTTGTCTTTACTGAGATTTATTGCTAGTTTCCTTCAGGAATTCTGGGTTGTAAGGAGATGTTTTTTACTAAAAGCTCTCTTGCTCTATCGTGTAAGCAGTGGTAACAAAAGCAGCGCATTCTCCAGTACTGGCTCTGCAGGGCTCATTGCTCTTTAGGGCAGTTTGGATTTGCTAGTGCCCATAGCAATCCGGGGAGAAGTCCAGCTCTCTAAGACGTTGGCCACAGCAGACCAGGGGGCTCTTGGTAAGCTACAGGGACAGGACCGGTTTTCCTTCTGCTCAACCAATTCCAAGAGAAATGCATCATCCAAAGAGGCCGGTTGGTGTTTGCTGCCTGCGCTGACAGTCACACTGCCCTATTAGTGCAGTGCCCTATCTGTGCAAACTGTTGCAAGCGCTGGGCTCCTGTGGGTCGTCCACGACCCCATGGGGACGTGCCCTGGAACGGGTGCACAGGACGCTCCTCACCGCCAACACGACACGTTGACGCCCCGAGGACGCTCTCAAGCGCTGCCATCCATCTCTTTCCATGACTCAGGGCCCACCCTCTTTTCCTAGCGGCCCTGTTTCAGCTCCGCATGCGCGAGGAGCCGCACGGAGCCGTGAGCACACGCTCCAGGCCACCGCGCAGGACGGCGGCTGCTTCCTAGCAGCTCCATCGGCAGCCGCTTCCCTGCAGCGAGGCCCCCTCGCAGCCACGTGCCGAGGCAGGATTTGCCTCTGTAATTCCCGGCCGGGCGGCTCGGGCTCGCTCTGTCCCTGCCTGCGTGCGCGGGGCCCCCGTCGCGGGCGCCCGGAGCTCCTAGCTCACCTCCTAGGCCACCCTCCTCGCACTCGTGCAGGGCGGCTGCAGGGATACCATACCTTTGAAGCTTTTTTCCATTATGTATGTGTTCTGACGTCTATCCATCCCACAAGCACCTGCATGAGAATGATATATAATGGAAAACACATAAATATTTATGTAAATTGGGTTGCTTTGACTACCGAGCAGCATATATTCTTTCCTCTACATTGTGTATCCAGGTCCTCCCCTAGGGAGGCTCTTAAGCACAGCCGGAGCTGCGAGCGGGCGCTCGGCCTCGCTGGGGCTCCTGGCCATGCCCCAAATTACATGTGTGCTTAAGAGGCTCCCTGCGAGGAAGAGCTCTCCTGACGCAGAGCCCCGCTCAGCACCGGGAATAGCTACTGGGCACGAAAACATCTGCTGAATCCCCGAGTTAGAGCCAGCAAAGACACCCCAAACAGATCAGCTGGAGGGTCACACTGCAGGCTGCGCGGCGTTACCCTATGGCTGGTTTTAGGCTTCTTCTCCTCGGTGGGCAGCATAGGATTTAATTGACAGTCTCGGGTTCGAAGGTGCTGTGTGCGACAGTCTGAGATTAGTTTATATGACTTTCTGCCTTAAAATTTGCACAATTCAGTAGCTGCCGTGAGACGTGTCCCTGAGTGCGCGCAACAGAACAAGGGTGCAGCAATCAGGAGGGCAGGGTTGAGAGCAAGAACTTCTGCCTTGCAGAACCCGCCACCCCTTACACGTGGAAGGGGACGGAAACCCTTTCCATTTCCACTACTGAACATTATCCTGGGCATCAATCAGGTCAGAGGAAAATCTAATGCAAGTCTTTAAATCTTTTTAACGGCACAGTCTGGTATTTCTTATTGACTAGGAAAATCAACAGAAATTTGGTTACTGAAATTGAAGCGTCTTAGTGGCTCACAGTATCCACCATCGAGTAACTTAGTTATGTTGTTAAAAAAAGCTCTGCAAACAGTGTGTCCCAGACGTCCCCGCTCTTTGTCCTTGCATGTCCTCTGGTCTCTAAAGAAGGAGCCGCCACCATCGCTGGCCAAGACACCCCAGGTCTTTTCACGGCAGCTTTGGCTTTTTGCTGGCTAAGGGTGATCATCCGATAAAACAACTGTTGTGTGACTGACATGTCAGAGAGAACAACCCGCGCTGGGGCTTGGAGTCCCCATCACCAAGCCCAGGACAAGGGCTGGAGTCCATGAGCTCACGTGGAATGGTGCTCGTTCCACTAATACCAGTATTAGCTGGGGGGTTTTGGGTCCCCTTCATTTTGCGAGGGAACACTCTTGAGCACAGGGCTGGGAGCTCATCCATCCCGTGGGTCAGGTTTGTGCTCCCTGCATGGGGATGCATGTGTAGAGCTGCCCCACTCGAGAGCTCGATGGGTGACTTGCTCGGGACCATCCCCAGCCACATTTTCCCCCCGAAATTCTGACACGTTCCGTTGAAGTCAGAGATAAACAGAGAGAGCAGGAGCAATCCCGCAGGACAGGGTGCTCGTAACTCCTGGGGCCTGGATCCCTCTGAGGGAATCCGAGAAGCTCCATCACGGGGATTCCAAAGGAAAGGAGGGCCCGGGAGAGGTGATCCTGCCTTGGGAAGGCTACGGGATCCCCAAAGCCCTTCCCAGTCAGCTTCTGTTAATTCTGCCTGCAGTTCTGTGCTTTTATAACACACCTTTACGTGTCCATCGCATTCCTCGGGAAGGAGGATGAGCGATGGAGTTAGTCTGTAAAGTGCAGAAGGAGTTAACGCAGAGAAGGCCCTGGCAGGCTGCAATCCGGGTTACCTTGACGCTAAATCACCCTAAATCACCGCTGGGGTGAAACGGGAGGCGCAGCCTGCAGGGTTTCCCCACACCTCTTGGCTCTGAGGAAATGCAGAGTCGGCTTCGAGTCGAAAGCTTCTGGCACCAGCCCTCCCGCGAGGGCACACGGGACACTGCGAAACAGGCTCAGTCCCTGCATGGAGGCTGCTGCTAAAGAAATCCCCACAGGAGAGAACCCCGGTCGTACTCAGAGCTTGCTGTGGCCAGTGCTCGGGTTAACGAGCACAACAGTCTAAGGCTCTGCTTGGTCGCAACGCAGCAACTGCCTAATGCCCTTGGCCACACGTCCATGGGAATTATGTGTGTGCTGGACGTTGCTATAGCCAAAAATGCTCATCCCCGTCCTCCAACTGCGTTTAACAGAAAGGATTATCTCTGTAAAAACGCCTGAAAAACTGGTATTTGACTCTCGGGGAAGTGTGCCAGCAGTGACAACGTGGGGTGACCCGGCAGAGGGACTGAGGGAGCAAGTTCCCTCCAGGCAGTGGGATGCAGCAGATCTGCCGAACCTGCTCCCTGCCAAAGGCTTCTGTGTCCTCTCCAGCAGCTCCCTCTCCTGCAGGAATCCCAATAACCAGCAGGAACAGAAGTGTGTAGAATAGGAGGATGACACTGAGTTATTTAAATGCTCTCTTGTCTTCCTGCAGGTTCTAACAGCCTTTGCTCTGCTCCTTGCATCTCCCGGTTGAAAAGGGAGCCTCTAAGGCTCCTACCGAGCCCGTAGGCATTTCTGTGAGCTGATGTCTCACCGGGTTGGTGTGAAAAGTCAACCAGGAGGTGCCTAGACAAGAAGAGGGTGCCCATCCTTGCTGAATTTCCCCTTAGCTGCCCTGCAAGGCCTCTTCCCTACCTGCCGCCTCCAGGACTTGGTGGGGTCGCTGCAGAGTGGTGCCCGCTGCTCTTTAACTCTTTTACCTAAGCGGGAAGCTGTGCAATGCTGGGATGTGATTCCCGCACTCAATCCGGAGCAGCCGCACCGGAAAACCTGGGGCTGATGAGGGGATGCAAAGGTCGTATATTCCTCTTTAACGCTTTAGTATTTTCATATGTGAAGTTCTTTCAGGGTCAAGATCCCCTACGTGACCTCATTAGGTTTCACTTGTGTTTAATGTTTATAAATCAAATTTAATTTTTTTTTCTTTTTTTTTCAGTGTTTTACACATATTAAAGGAATCTTGCAACTTTTATTGCACAGAAGTAACATAGTTAAATGAAAAACTTTATGTAAAAATGGCCTTGCTCTGAGCAAGAGCACAAAAATGTTATGAGAGACAGCACCAACAAACATTAGTTTTGGTGCTGAAAAAAAAGAAAAAAAATCTCATTTTTATCATATAGCATGAAACAAGCACTTTGAAACAAGGGAGAAAGGTCTCAAATTAAAATCTGGGCTGCCAAGCCCTATGGAAAAAATTGTTCCTATTTTTGCTGGCGATCACTTATTAAAGTATTATCACTGCTGCATATCACTCGTACTGCAAAAGCATTCAGCACTGCTTCTACTGGTAAAATAAGATGCAAGAATTTAGGGCAAGCGTTTCATCACGCAGGGAGCTCACAACACGGCAGGAGAAACCCAAATAAAGCCAGCGAATGAAGCTGTAAAACGGTAAGTGGAAAATCAAGCTGATTCAAGGAGCAGCTGGAAATCCTCAGCCCGCCCAGCTCGCCAGGGTATCACGGCTAAGCATGAGGGCAGCGCTGCAGACGACTGTGCAGGAGGGAGCAGTAAGAGCTGCTAGTGATGGAGGGAGCTTTGCAGAGGGGCTCGGTAGCTCTGTGACTTTCCCGATGCAGGGAAAACCCCGTCCTTGGAGCAAGCCATGGTGTGCGACCCAAAGAGCGCGATGAGATGGGATGTGGTGTGGCCTCATGCTCATGTCTTTGCAAGGTGAGATGGCTGACCTTAAAAAATCCCATAACACCACTTTGTGCTGCACTTTTCCTCACACTGTGTTCCCAGTAAGGTGTTAGTAATCCCAGTAAAGGAAAGGGAAAAGCTTTCTGCCACTGACAAGTGGAATTCCAAGCGCTTCGACTGGAAAACAGCTAGCAGGAGAAGGGCTCAATCCGGCCAGGTTTTGAGAAGGAGCGGCTTAAAGCTCTGTTATAGCTGAAGCCTAGAGGATAAATGGAGAAGGGGTGATTGGTTCTCGCTCTCAACGGGTTTGCATTGGCCAGGGGTTCAAAATTGGCCTCGGAAACGGCCCCTGTACGACAGCACCTGGGAGGCAGCAGCGCTGAGCCCATAACCCAGGGCCCTCCGGGGCCGCACAGAGGGGCTTGCTGAGGTGACAAGATTTGGCACTAAACTGCACTACTCACGAAAGAAAAACGCAAAACCCACATCTGAATTTTCACTGCTCTAAATTCGCCCTTAAGAAAACACTTATCAAATATATGAATGATTCAACCAGCCGGGAAAGCGAGCCTGGAGCGAGGATTGACTCTGCTGCTCAAATCGCTGCTTTGTGCTAAAGGAAGTGATTTTCAAATCCCGACCTTTCATTCCTGGCAATTCTGATAGTGAAATAAAGACAATACCAATAGTCTTCATTATTGCTAATGCCTTTATGAAAGGCAGATTTGGATCTGGAAATGCTCTAATGTCTACTAAAATGATTAAATGGTACAAAAATTACTGACCTAGTTCATTCAGATAGCTGTAGGGTCTCCAGTCTGTGGTTTCTCTGTCAAGGGTTTTGTTACTGAGCTGTTCAAAAAGTATGATAATGGGTTAATGCGGACAGAAAGAGACAGTTTCCCCCCAAGACTTCAGCCCCGTGATGCCATGAATGGGAATGGGAGATGGGAATGGGACTGCCACCGGGCCTCGCCGTTCCGGCTGTTTAGCCGTGTCAAACGCAATGGTTGTTCACTAGCAGTAGGGAAAATCATGAAGGGAAGGCACCTCCGCCAGCGACGAGCACAAGCATGCGGGAGAGCACAGGATTTCGGGGGGGAGAGGTTGTCCCTGTCACACGGCCGGCCTGTTGCAACCCTGCGCCAGGACAGCCCGTGACGCGGGCACGGGGAGCGAAGGGGTCACTGAGTCACCCATGTGTGGGTGGGCAGGAGGTTTCTCGCAATTCAAGGAAAAACACATTGGAAATGAGGAGGCTTAACGCCCCGAGCAGATCTGCCAGCAAAATCGGGCCGGTCCAGGGTTGCCATCTGGCTGCCACCACAGGAAAAATGTCCCTGCCAGGCAGCGTGGCGGGAGCAGGGCCAGGGCCCTTGCGCTGCGCCCTGCTCTGGGTCACGCTGCCTTTGCCGGGGGGT